TTAAAAATTCTGACTATTCCTGCTGGCAGACCAATACGTGTCATGAAAAACTTGCGTGTTTGTCAAGACTGTCATAATGCCATCAAACACATATCCAAGATTGTTGGAAGGTTGATTATCTTAAGGGATTCTCACCGTTTTCACCACTTCAATGAGGGTATTTGTTCCTGTGGGGATTATTGGTAAGAATGGATAGATATGGTTATAATTAACCTAAAGATTAGTTGTACACTGTGGACCTATTTATATGCAATTGGATAAGTGCTGAAAGCAGCGACAAGCTCATTTATGTCTGTTCTGTTCCATGTGAATGAATAAAACTGACAAAAGCTGGTCAGAAAATCTGAATTACTTGGACTCACGTGATTGTGACCCTTAGAATAGTATACAGTATTTCATTTACCTATATTATAGGTTTGGATGGCTACCAAGTAGTTAAGAGGTGGGACATGGAGAAAGAATAATATAGGTTTCGATGTAGCGCAAAACGTTACTTAATTTTTATCTGTATTTATATATACAAAGTACAAAAAAATATTAATTACTATTATTTTTACCCAATTCTTAATTGTTTAATTATCTGTTCTAACTTTGTTGTTTGGATTTTATATGTAATAATTGTAAGTTTTATTCCTTGGATAAACAAATTCAATGCATTTTCCCCTACTGTCAGTTATTTTTAACTCTATTATACTTTGTTGAAAATAATTCAAGCATGTATAATCCTTACTACATGCTTTGAATCGATTTTAACAAGACGGGTAGAGTCTAGGACCAACCATAATTCATTCATTTTAATTGGTCAGTGATTTATTTTAGTGTTTATTTATTATAGAATTCATATATAATTAATGATTATAAATTGTTTACCTATCTTATCCATGGTTGTATGAACAGGTTCCTTTGGTTGCTAGTCTTCCCTTTCTATCTCCAAGTTGGGATGTGACTTTTGATGATAAGGTGCTAATAATTATGGTTGAAAATGAAACTAACCTATCATAGTTACAGTGATGCAGACTTTAGCAATCCTCTCATCACCAGACATTAAGGAATGACAAATGTTTCATCCTCCAAAAACTTATTTCGAAACTTGATCTAAATTAATAATAAAAAATTGATTTAAACAATAAAATATTAAATTATATAATTATTTTATAATATATTTATTTTTAAATATTAATATTTTAATTATTCGGAATATATAACAATGTTCGCAATGACCCGTGGACCTACACTATATGCTACTTGACATATTATCCCAATAAAGTTTAATAGGTCTGTCTAAGTAATTAAGTTGATCTTTCGTTGACCCGCTTTGACTCGTGTAAATTGACAGACTAGTGATAATCCAACACAGCACAGGTGAATGAGGTGGAAATAAGACACAGGATAGGAAGAAAAGGGGAGAATATTATTATAAAATTGTTACAAAATGCGTTAATAGGTTTTTTTTTTTTTTAAATAAAAAATATTACAAAGATAGTTGTAATGAGAATTGAACCTAGGTCTTCATATTTCTGATTACCACAACCATTTTCCACCTAACCACTTGGTTAACCTTAGTAATCTAAAATGCGCTAGTAATTAATTAGTGATGTAACTTAATATTAATATATATATATATATATATATATATATATATATATGCGTGTGTGTTATTTCATTTATAAATATTAATGAAATCATGTGGACGAAGTATATTAGATAACAAAATAAATGAATGACACAACTTTGAGTCATGAAATTTTGTGGAAATTTTTTTTACAAAATAACTCCTTTTATTAACTTTATCAATAATTAATTTATCAAAAATTATATTTAAAAAAAATCTTTTTAGAATCACATTTTTTCACCAATAGAATTCAAATTTAGACCTTACTCAAGAAATAACCTAATTTCTTTTCGACTAATGACATTGATTTTATGAAATGGGAATATTTTTAATATGTATTTTTGAACGAGAATATTTTTGAGTTAGTTCTTCAAAAAAAGATTCATAAGAATTCTAGAGTTAGTCTGTGAACTGTATAAACCCCATTCATTCAATTTATTCCATTACATAATAAATTAATATCACAAAATCAAATTTAATAACGGTTGGATCTAAAACTGCACACCCTACAGTTTCAAGAAACTGCAAAGTATTATACGAGGCCTCCAACGAGAGGAAGATAATGTTTTGGTAATTGGTAACATTCTCTCTTTTCCTTTCTGTTTCATAATAAAATATAACATGACTAGTATACATTGCGTTTCCGTACATAGATGAATAATTACAACAGTAATGGAAGTTCATGACTAACGGCGTCCTAAAGTAAGCTTCTAGTGCTAATGATGACAAACCACCACCTCTTTCTCTTTGTGGAAAGAACCAAAGCATGGAACACCAAAATCATAATCAAACATGGAGGGCAGTAACCTCATCCATCACTTCATCCACTGCCTCATCATTTACCTCCCTAATTGGCTCGTCCTACATGAATGTATTTTATTGAGAACACAAAAATTCGCAACCAATTATAATATAAGCTAAAGATAAATTATTATTTGATCCGGGACAACAGTATAGTCCCGACTAATCTTTGTGACAAGTTATTAATACTTCTATTTTAAATTAAAAAGAATGTGGTAATATATTATGTAGCGATTAACTAAGATACCATGTTATATTTTCTCCAGACTAAGAGCTTAGTCATGCAGTTGAAAAGATAGAGTTAGCTACCTCTTTATCTTTATTTTGTTTCACAACTATACACTTGGAAGCACTAATACTGGCACTCTTCATCAAGCTACGTTTGGGGGTTCCATTTTGAGCACCTGTCGCATCAGATCCAGGAGGACTATGAAGATTTGCACCACTCGGCATTTCAGAATCGTTGTTTTGATTACTTTCATTCTTGGGAGCACAAACTCGCTCTCTGCAAAAAGTGAAATTGCATTAGTCAAATGCATATGATTCAAACAGTACAATATAAAAGGTTCACAACTTCACACGTTTGTCTGCCAAATTCATCTTTAAATAGACAATAATAATTTGGATCTATGTTTAAAATCCATGAGAATAATGTCGGGTTGTGTTTTGTAGTTTGTTTGCTGGATATACTTTTCAAGAGTACCATGTTGTGTATCAGATATCCACACACACATCTCGACATTGTTATCATATTGTTCACTTTGCCTAAATCATTGTAGATTTATTTTTAGTCATCATTAAAAAAGTTTCATACCAATGTAGAATGTATGTGTTTTATAAGTTTGCGTTTCTCCTCTTTTCTTAATAATGTGAAACTTTATTTGTATCCTAACAAATACTATAAAAACAAATTACATCTCCAAAAGAACAAGACTAAGCTGTTCAACGTGCAAGTTGGCAATCCAATATTTGAACAAATTGTTTAACCAAAACTTGCCTAGGTAAGGAGGCATGCTGTCTCTGCAATGGAGTGCTTCGTTCACCTTTGCCATAATGCTCCTCAAGATGTGCAAACTGTCGCTTAAACCGATCCACCCCACTATGCAACAAGATAACATAGAATCACCGATTAATAACAAAAGCGTGTAAAACTTAAATTTCAAACAACCCCACATTCCATCTCAGAGTTGTTAGATGACATGGGAAATACAGAACGAAAACTAGACATCAGAAATTTTGTATTAGTCGAAATTTTATGGCAAGTAAAATAAGCATTTCTGGGTTTTGCTAATGAAGGTTCTAGTTCTGTATGGATATTTGCAAAAAATAAAAATAAATAAATAAATAAATAAAAATTCAACATTGTCTCAGGGCAACAACAGTAAATACAAGCCTGGTTCCTGTTAATAGTTAACAAATTAGGTGTTGAGAACATTATACAATAAAAATTGGTTTAGTATCTTATTTCAATAATGAAGGACTATTCCTTGTCCCTTGCGAAAGTTCCATGCACAATGTTTGATATAAGCAGTTAATCACCAAGCCTTCAATAAAATATAGCACATCTACCTTGGATACATGAAGCTAGTTTGATCTCCACCACGAAGATATTCCTGGAGCATTTGAGGATGATACTCCAAAATCTGTTCAATTCAAACATTTAAATAATTATTATCACAACACATTGAAGCCAATAAATTGAAGCAGAAGTGACATAAATGTATGATCATACCTCTCGATAAATCAACTCTCTGACATCATCTTTGGTCAATTTCCTTCTCTCAAATTCGAACTCAAGTTTTGAAATAGGTTGAGTGGATGGTTCACGGTCCACGTTCGCCAAACCATTGAAGTAAGGATCAGCTAAAGCCTGATATCACAAACATACGAGAAAAAATATATATATATTCCCTTTGGTATTATCAAAGAATTTTCCACTTTGGCAACGATATATAGGTTATAATAGATCTACCTCTTCAGCTGTTGGACGGTCTTTAGGATCAAATGCAAGTAGGCGCTCCAGCAAACGAAGACCTAATGGATCTGCATTTGGAAATTTTTGGGAGAATGGAACCTGTTGCTTTTTTCTCATGCTACTAAGATACCTTTTAGCTTTTTCATTTCGAATCTGTAATGAAGAATAAGAATTTATATGCTAAAGGACAGAGTAGAGGAAATAAAATTAAGCCTTGATGGTATTGATTGCAATAAACCATAAGGTATATCTTATAAACATAATACCATGTTTAGAATTTTGATATACTAACCCTCGCAATGGACTCAGGAGGGGGAGTGCCAAGCAAATCAGTCATGAGATCCAATTGGTGTACAACATTTTTCCCAGGAAACAATGGCTTCCCAGTGAGCATTTCTGCAAATATGCATCCAATGCTCCAAATATCAATTGCGGGGGTATACTGCAAAGGACAAGGGTTTCAAAATTACATGCATATTTCAATACACCCAGCCTATTCAATTTCTCACTTCATACACAATCCAAGAAAAGATGTTAAAAGAAAGGAAGCAGCTTACTTTTGAGAAAAAAGAACCACAAAGTTCAGGTGCACGGTACCACCGAGTTGCAACATAATCCTTATTTAAAGTAGATAAAAATGAGTCAGTAACAGCTTTAGGGAGAAACCTAGATTGCAATTTGTAATTTCCAACTCAAAATCTTAAAAGTGAGAGCATAATTAACAAATGTAACTCACAGTCCAGAATATAGCTGATGGGGCATCATTAAATGAAACTCTAGCAAGCCCAAAATCACATATTTTTAGTTTGCAATCAGCATTAGCAAGAATATTTTTTGGCTTCAAATCACGATGAAACACGTTTGCTGCAAGAAAAATTTCCACACTAGTTTAATTTCACTATCAGAAAAAGTCAAGGAGCTAGTTTTAACAAGGACACAATACCTGTATGAATATATTTCAGACCCCTGAGAAGTTGGTACAAGAAAAATTGGTGGTGCTCAGGAGTAAGATCATCATTTGCCTTAATTACTTGATAGAGGTCAGATTCCATCAACTCAAAGACAACATAGATATCCCTGAACTCTCTCCGCGAAGGAGGAAGCATAATATGCTTAATTTCCACAATATCAGGATGTCGAAGCAACCGCAAGAGCTTGATTTCTCTAAGGATCCGCGTGGCGTCTGATACATGCTCAAAAACATCATTAATTTTCTTGATTGCAACCCTTTCTCCAGTATGAGCATCAACTGCAGAACCCACAACACCATAACTTCCTTTTCCAACAACCTCTTGGATCTGGTATTGACTTGCCTCTCCATACTCAGTAAAAAACTCTGTCTCTGGGGCACCCTGCTTTATAACCACAAACCATTAGAAACATAATTTATCTTAACCGGATCTCTACTTTTGACCTACTACAATTTTTACGGTAACATGTGAAACACAACATAAAATCCATCAAGAAAGAACATAGTATCGAACTCAAATAAACAGACAATGACATGAAATTCAATACTTTATCTCACAATATGTCGTATACCATTGCAGGACACACACCATAGAGCTTTTTGTTGTTTCTCATTTGTTTATACCTTTCAAAATAATCTTATTTTAGGTATTATCAGACATTAAATGTGACACCTCTTCAGGAATTCAAACATTGATTCGCTAATCTTATATTGTCAGAAATTAAATGTAACACCTCTTCAGGAATTCAAACCTTGATTTGGCACGATGTAGAAGATTAGCCCATGCTAGACTCAACCCATTTATAGTTTATGGACACCATCCATCTAGTACTCTAGGAAAAGTACAGATAGAGGGGGAAAAAACAAGGATACAATACAGCCAAATTGATCCAAACAATCACAGAAGAAGATAAAGATGTAAGGGTGGAAGAAAAAAAAAACGAAACTTGAGAAGTACCCAATAAGGCAAGAATAAAAATAAAACAAGAGAAGCAGATCGCAATAAAAAGCAGAAGAGGGGCGATGAAAAAACAAAAAAGAACCTTTTTGTGGGGATCCATGGAAGAGGGTTTGAAGGGGATTTGTGTGGGAACTTTGATGGGCTTGAGGGTAGAGAAATCGAAATCAGAGAGGTCGTGGTTGGGAATGGAAGCCAATTGCGCGCGCAAATCTCTCACATGGACACGGCTATTGTTAGCATTGTTGTTGTGGTCTTCAACAGAAGCGCGTCGTTGAAACAAGCGTCGAATCCCTTCCACGAGTGTTCCTCTGCCACCCATGTAGATTGATTGATTGATTTACTTCACTCTTTCTTTGCCTTTGACTCAATCCAGCACTGCATAACTCATATGCATTCTTCTCCGTTTCTTTTCTATTAACCCTTAAACTCTTTTTATTATTTTTTATTTGACTTAATCTGTTACTGGAAAATTTTATATACCGTAAAATTTTTTACACCGACAATTAATCATATCATTTAAATTATTTTATTTTTATTTTATTAAATAAATTATTGACATGATATTATTAAAATATATGATTGATTATTAGTGTAAAAAAATTTTACATTTACAGGTGATTAACTCTTTTTTTTTATTATTATTATCTCGCTTACCTTGTTTATTTGTTCAACTCTCCTTGTTTACTTTTCGGCTTCTCTACTATAATACTTTTTTATTGTTTATCCTTTTTTGTCTTTTTTCTATGTAATGCAAAAGTGCAGCTTTTGGTTCAGACAGTGATCGTGTTGGATGACTGTGTTTCGTAGACAGAGATTGAGATCATTCATTCATATTACATGCCTTTGGTATGTTGTGTTGAGGTGGTAACTGTACTGGTTACTTTGTTTTGGGTGCCAGCTTGAATATTGTGTTGCTGTGGCGTGACGTGTGATTGTGAATGAGTTGTTACTTGTTAGTGACCATGGATTTTGATCACACATTGCTCAATGCTCATTGCTTACGCGGATCCTTTTTAATCATTGTTAATGAAAAATTTGTTAGCCATTACGGTAAGTTAAATAATTAAGAAATTAGTAAATATAAAATATTTATTAAAATATATTAATAATATAAGATGTTAAAAATTAATTAATTATTAATTATTTCTCTAATTCTTAATACTCAAACATGAAACTTTAAAATATTGTAAATGTAACTGAATAACGTGACTATTTTAGTATCTCGGAATCTGCCCAACTTAAAAAAGTTATGTTTTCGGTACTTAAAAAAACTATAAACAGTCATTAACACTCAAACATTTTTATTATTGTAATTAGATTTTTTTTATTTATTAAAATTATAGTGATAATACCATAATTTAAACAGATTCTTTATATTTTACTTCTATTTTTCACCACTAGAGTGACTGATTCAATTGGATTTGATTAGTTAATTCAACTTTATTTATATAATATTTATGATAATTAAAACAAAAAATAAATAATTTTTTAATTAAATTTTAATATAAATTTGCAAACAACTCCTAACTTTTATCTAAACAAAAATAAAATTCAAACTTTTTAAACAGACAAACAATTTTAAACAGTCAAAAACATACTACAATAATTAATTAGTCAATAGCATGAATGGTAAAATTGGTATGATTGATTTTCTAAATGCCTTTTAATTAATCAATTAAATGTCTTTTTAAACCTTTTAGCCCTCTTATAAAGAAATTAAAATTAGCCCTTGCCCTCATAATTGATTTAATAAGTTAATTGGGATGAAGATGTATGTTATGTGTACTAGTTTTACCATAATTATTTCTCTCTTTTTATGTTCTAAAATGTCTTTTTATCAAAAGCACTTAAATTGGTAACATTAATGGTAAATAGTAATTAGTTGATTGGGATCAAAATGTATATTATGTGTGCTAGTTTTACCACCATCATTCCTCTCTTCTTGATGCTATAAAATACATTTTCTATCAAAAACACTTAATTTGGTAACATTAGTAATAATAAGTTGATTGGAATCAAAATGAATGTTATGTGTATTAGTCTTATCGCCATCATTCATGTCCTTTTGATGGTTTAAAATATCTTTTATCAAAAACATTTAAACCGATAACATCAATAGTGAGATTAATAGTATACTCAATATATTCAATTTATAAACATTATCATTTATGCTCTTGAGAACTTGATAAAGGATCGTACTTTCTTATAAACAATTTAAACGGTGATAGTCCTAAGCATAGATAAGGTAGATGATTGCCCATGACTCTATTTTTAGAGGAACACCAATTTAAAAAAAAAATATATAAAAATAAAAATAAATTTTACATAACTAAATTATATTAAAAAATATTATAGTGAAAAAATTAATCAACCACAAATAACCAATTAATATGTAATGTTTTTATTTCTCAAATAAAATCAACTTGTAATTTAAGATAAATAAATCAATGATGTTAAATATAAAGGAAAAAGTGTGATATATAATATATTATGGACTTGTTTCTTTTAATTTCTCTTATCCTATATTTTTATTATCCTTGATGAATATAGATCATCTTGGAATTCCTCATTTTCCTTTTACATACACACATGCATGTACGCACTCACACACATATATAATAATTCCTTGATTTTCTCTATATTCTCTTAATCGTGATTTCATATACTTTGTTAGAATCTTAAAATTGAATTGAAATTTTAGCTTTTTGTTTATACTTGTCTAATTATTTTGGTTTGAATATGTTGCATAAAAAACAACCTTATGATCATCTAAAATGAAAAAGAAATAAATAAGTTAAAACTGACATTGATTCTCAAAAGGGTACTTTTGACAAACTTTTTGTTAAACATCCAATAATTTTTTCTTTAAAATGATGCAAATCTAGATAATATATACTTCAAAATTTTGAGAATAAAAAATTATATAAAAATAATAAAAAGTCTAATATTTTAGTTAAAAATAATAAAAATAAAAAATAATTATAATGATGAAATTGAATATTTTAATAATAAAAATAACATATTCATGTTAAACAACTTAATCACTATAATTCATTAGACATTTATAATCTAATAACATAAAATAAACTTAGATGTGACTTATAAGATGATTTACTAAAAATGATACTAAATGAGATATATCTATTATGCATGGTCCTAAAAATATTATTAATATCTTAATAATTTTATAATAAATAATTATAAAATTTAAATAATAAAAAATATATTATTTTTATTCATATAAGACCTTGAAAAACTCACAATAATCATAAATTTAGATCACCTTTATATTATATAACATTTTTACTTGTATAAACTCAAATAATCTCCAATTTCAAAAGACAATTGCTTATGGCATTTATTGGTTTGCATGACTCATTGCTTCATTCTCTATTTTTTTTTTTAATGTTGAGTTTTGTTATTTTATGAATTCACTAAATAAATTTAACTTTCTTCTTTCCATTTTAGTGCTGATGTGACTTTCTTCTTTCCATTTTAGTACTGCCACAACAAATGAATGGATCCTTACATATAAAAAAAAATTAAGAATTAAAATCATAAATAAGTTAAAGTAGTGTGAATTTAGTGGTAGAAAGAATAACATAATTACAAAATCTATTTATGACCACAAAAATTAAATATTCACCATTTTTTTTTCTACAAAATTAGTAAGACATGATGAAACTCTATGGGAGTATTTAATAAATGAAAAAAAAAATTCAAGCAAAAAAATCATGATTTTTAGAAAGAAAAATCATAACAACACACTCTTCAATTAGATGAAATTTATTGAAAAACATAAAATTTGGTGTGTCTCAATGTCTCACACCTAATGAGATGATTTTGTCTTTTAATTTTGTAGTTTTTAATAGAACTCAATTAATGAGTAGAAGTTTGTTAGGATGATTATATTATATAGTGTATTACTATATTTCTTATGAATGTTATTTCTTATTAATAAAACCAAATGTGGGAAACTAATTTTCCCAACCTCAAATTTTTAGGAAAGTAAAAGCATTTCTCATACCAAATGCTTCCTAATATTATAAAGTAGTGTACCAATAACATACTAAAAATACTAATAGTTACAAACAATTTTATTTAGTTGTAACTACTCAATTAACTTTCAAGTGACAAGAAATTTCTTTAATGAAGATTGTTCACTAAATAAGATTTTAGCACCGTGAAGATTAATCAAACTTGCATTCATAGTAGATAAGAGATAACTTTAAATGTTATATCACTCATACTATACCACTTAAAAAATATATACTATATTTAAATCATAATTAGTAAAATGCATCAAGTTAATTAAATTGATATAAATTCAATATAAAACTCGGATTTTAAATTTTGAATCCAAATTAATTAATGGCTTATTACAAGTTTAACTTACAAAAACTCGTTTAAAAATTTTAAAATAATGATAAAAAGACTTTGATTAGATTATTAGATGAATTAAATTTAATTTTTTTATATCCTATATGCTATAAATTAAAACTTGATACGATGTTTAGTTAAATATATTACATAATCAATTAAATATAATGTTTATCATGCATAAATAACTTATGAATAATGTCAAGTTTAATTTTATGTAATTAATTGTATTAAATATATAGAATTTTTGTTGTCATTTATACATGTGATCTACATAAAAAAAATATATTTAAATTTTTAATCTAATTATTCTCATATATTTTCATTCAACTCAAATAATTTTATAGTATTATTTATTTTTAATTTTCTTTTTATTTCACTAAAATCAAACAATTCAAAATCTTACCTTATTTCTTTCTTAATTTTTTTCATCTATTTTATTTCCTTCTACTCATTATCTATCTTTATTTCATCAACAACACTAGTGAAAGTGTGAAACACACAATAAAACTTTAATAGAAAAAGAAAATAAAGAAATTGGGCTATTGACAAAATATATTTTAAAATTTATTGTAACATGATTGACAGATAGTGTCGGGCAGAAAAATATGTAACTTGCGGCGTTGTGTCATAAAAAAAGATGAAGTCACTTCCTTTGCCATAACTGGAATACAATTATTGAGCGCATTTCTTGAACATCCAATCGGATTATGAAACGTATTGCTATGTGAGAAGATTCACAAAATATCGTCATGTGAATGATAACTAATAAACCTATTAAATATTAAGCCTTAGTTTTACTTTTATTATTTTAGTCTGCATGATGCATGATTCTGTTCTCAATTTTATTCCAACCATTGTGGTTCGTTTGGTATACATGCTTCTTTTATAGACATATTTTAAAAGGTCAATTAAATTGTGAAATTATTTTAAGTTTTAATTAAAAATAATTATTTTATTAATTAGTAATATTAAAACTTAATTAATATTATTTTTTTAATAATATATAATAATTTAACCATTGTATTTTAATTAATTTTAAT